AAAAAAATGTAAAATTAAAGAGGGCAGCACAAGCGACTATGGTGAATCCTTGTCAGCCATCTGGAATGTGAAATTCCCTCAACACACTATTGGCTAGAATCAACGAACAAGTTTAACAAATGCAAGATTTAAAAAAAAAAAAAGAAAAAAAAAAAGTCCATTATATCCAACAAGTCGCTTCACGTCTGCTGAAGTAAACTCCTGAAGTATCTGAACAAAATCAACCGAACATTCAATGATGAAACGTAATGGATGAGCAATGTCCAGATTCACACCAAAAGCATAATTTAAATGCTTGGCTATTGTATTTACATTACCAAGTCAACAAAGGATCTTTCTGTATGTTGATCTTTAGTTTTGTTTGTTTGCTGTTTGAATAAATGTTTGAAAAGTTATAAGCAAATGGGGATAAAAGAACCACATGCGTTTTGGACCACACCGGCTTGCACGTTAACAGCATAAGGGCTACAAATGTCTGAACTGACATGTAATATGCATCCATCAGGCCAGCTTTGGGATGCAAACAGTTAATTGCATCAGCTTAAATTGCATCGGATGGACTCAAATACATTGAAGAATTGCAAAGTACAGGAATAAAGGCCTATTCTCGTGCATGAATTAAGATCTGGGAGTTTAGAAACATAAAAATAAGTAAAAAAAAAAAAAAAAAAGGAATAAATAAAAAAAAAAAGGTTGTGAAAAAAAATCAGTTGGTATTCTCAGATCCTTCACATGAGATGTTTATTCAGCATGACTTTCACTGCATGTTCATCTGTAAGATTGTTCTAGGCTTTGAAAGTCATCCAGTTTTAAGGTATAAACAGAAGAGCAAATTCCCATGTGCACCAGCATTTAATCCAGAATCAAGTCTCAAAGCCAAGTTCTTCTGAATTAGACAACACTTCAGCCCTTCTAGCATCCAGCTAATAGAGCTAAAACATCTGCAACAAGCATCTGAGCGTCAGAGAGGCATCAAAACGCTGATGTCCATCATTTGAAACAGAGCCGGTCGGCTTTTCCGTGTCCGTGGCTTGTTGTCCATTCTCTGTCAAACTTTGTAGTAAATGTTTGCAGGATTTTGTGGTGGCATTTCTTGGACGATATAGACAGGGTGGCCGTAGTCACCGCTGACCTTCTCGTAGTGCGGGCAGTACATGCTTCCTGAGGTGCGCAGCGGAAAGATGATGTCACTCGGCTCAGAGCCGTTATTGTTGCTGCCGCCACTGGCAGCACTTCCGCGTTTGGGCAGCGTGTTTAATGGCAGCTGGGCGGAGCACTGCGCGGAGTGTTTCTGATGACGCCGATGCAGCAGTGCTACCAGAGCGATGATGATGATGATGAAGATGACAGCACCAGATGCAACACCAGCAAACAGGGCTACTTCAGATCCAGCGGATCCTACAGACTCTCCGCTCTTGCCTCCGGACTCACCATTCTGCATGGGGTCTGGGGAACGAGAAAGAATGGGGAGTTCATGATCAGATATAGTTTATTGTTTGTTGGATTCAAACACAATGATTGTGAAAGTAAAATATCCAGCTTTATACATGTAAATCATTTCAAATCATGAGAACAAATTAGGATATGCATGCCCATGTTAAACTGGCAACATTTAATTGTTTTTATTTATTTTGTACATAAACCTGAACCTGTGATACATATCCAAAAAATGTAGTTATTTTACATTTTTTTCTCACACACACACACACACACAAACAAAAGGATTTAAACTTTTCAAGGTTTTCAAACCATATTTAACCTAACTACAGTAGTCAACATTTGAAGTGGATCAAAAACGTTGATCAAAGTTGTCCTAAGACAAGAACACATTTTGGTTTTAGGTTTTATGACAACTTTGATGAAAGGATTTGATCCACTTCAAATGCTGACTAGTATATAATAAATCAAAATCTGCGGTGTAAAAATTTGTAAAATTTTGACATCTGAGATATATCAAGCATATTTAATTGATTAATTAATTATAGTATTGAGGTGATTATAGTATAACATTATATATTGTATTTTATATCATATTTAATTATTTGTTATTCCATTTATTTATTTAGATTTCAGTTTTGGGGTGAAATTTGATTTTTATGATGCATGACTTTTTATATTTATATTTTATTATTTTAGTAATTTATTAATTATTATTGCATTTTATGCTCTAATATATTGTATATTATAATCTAAAATATCGTTTACTGTATTAAATATGTTCAATAATAATTACGTTTAATAATTATTTGATCATTTATGACATTTAGTGAGATTTACCTTTGTATACATCAATACTTACCAACTCTGTTGACAGCATCGTTTTCTTTGCTGAAGGTGTTTTGGTCCTTACTGTCAGGGTATTTTGGAGGATATCTAGTTGGATAGTTTTTTGCTGAGAATGAATCTGTAGGACCTAAAAAGAAATAGAGAATTAAATATTAACAGACAGCAATTGAAATTACTAGTGGAGCAAAGCAGTACAAAATGTTCAGCGAATTGGAAAACTGATCATAATATCGGACCACCCTTACATATTTTTTGCTTCTAGGCATTATGCCCCAGGTTTTGAGAGAGAATTTAATGAATTGGCGTAAAGCTGCAAGTATCTCCCCACAAGCCCAAAGAAGGGACAGCTGGCATCGCCACAGGAAACAAGCTCACATGACATTTCAATTACACGCTGAGGCACACTAGCATGGACACTACAAGACCAGTGACATGAAAGACTGTAATGGAAGCAGTGATCTTCATCGATGCAGGTGTAGGTATGGGTGCTACTCACTCTGTCCAACTCGCAGGACCAGCTTCATAGATTTGGTCTTACAAACACCGCCGTCGTGGTTGTCCAAACCTTCAAAAGTGCTGTTTGATGTGGCTGAAAGATGGAAGAAAAAATTAACCGTTTTCATCATTTTGTTTAAAAAAAATATATGATAACATCACACAAAACGTGTGAAGAACATGTTTGGACCACATTTTTCCTAATGAAAGCAATGTGACAATATTATGTATGGAAGGCCATTTCTGCCACTGAGAAAGGTAATTGCAAGTTTTAATCTCACAATTAAAAAATTGTTCTTGCAATTCTGAATTTTGTGAGAAATTAAATCAGAATTGCGAGATAAAAACTCGCAATTCTGACTTTTTTCTTGCAAATGCGAGTTTGTATCTCGCAATTTTGACTTCTTATGCAATTCTGACTTTTTTTTGTGAGATATAAACTCGCAACTTTGAGAAAACAGTCAAAATTGTGAGACAAAAAGTCACAATTACCTTTTTTATTTTTTTTATTCAGTGGCAGAAACAGGCTTCCATACATTATTTATATGATAATTAAGCAAAACAATTCTATCTATCAATTCAATCAATTTTCGATCAATTTTCACTATAATAATCATGCAAAATTTCATTTTCATTTCTAGAATGCAACAAAAATTATATTGAGTATTTAACTGTAGTAATTACATATTATAATTCATTAAATGTTGGTAATTATAAAGGTCTTAACACCTCATTTGCTGCATTGCTGTTGTAATACAGTAAAAATTACAGTAATAAAATGTTCTTAATCATTTTTATTTTGCCTCAGCATTATGCCGATTATTACAAAATAATGTGAATCTAATAAGAATCAACTTTGAGAATAATGAGAACTACATCTTAATAGTGAAACATCCACAATCAAAGCAATATTAAAAAAAAAAGAAAAATAGGACCTTTTCAGTTCAGTTTTCTAAAGCAATATAAATTCTGGGATTCTTTTTTTTTGTGTGAGATTAATCCATCCAACATTTAGTAGTCTACATCTCTGATGCTGAATATTTAAAGCCCATCATCCATCTTAAAAACTTCAACATGCCACCGAATTATTCTTTCCTCTCGAGGCCCATTTCTCTTCCAGTCCTCTGTATGTATTTGGCCATATAAGTTTTAGCAGCACTAAGTGAGCTAGTTTATGACCGGGTCAGCTTTCCGCATGCGTCCTCACAGGTGCTCTAAAACCTTTCAAGTGTTCCTTGCGGACATTTGAGTCATGTGTTCATCAGTCACTATGCATGCGTACGCAGAAGGTGAAGGTTCAGCTTGCTCGTACAATGAGAAAATCTCACTTTTGCGGCACACCAAAGCTTCTTAAAAGCTTCTGTTTGTTTGCCAGTAAATCCTTACGAGGGGCGCGCACGCACTCACATGCACGCTAATTTAGAAACCCCTCATACTGTGAGTAATAACCGCAGTGTAATCACACAGGTTTGAACTTTACAGAAACTAAGCATATTACCAAAGCCTTTTCACATCATTATCACAGAATATCAAGGATTTGCTTTGGCCGTCAATCCACGGCTAGTGGAGTGGCTTGGTCGAACGATTTAAATGCCATTGTGCCTGCGCACCCATGCTGTGTCCTCTGATAGCGGAGCTAAAGAATTCCATTGGGCCGTAATCTCTCTTTCACTGCGAGGATTAAGACCAATCCCACATGAACAAATGGACTTCCCCTCCAAACTGCTTAGGGCACAGAAAGAACCGAGTGACCAGAGAGTGAAAGGGCAAGAGAATGGGGGGTGGGCAGAGAAAGCCAACCAAAGAGCTAAGGAGAGAAAAACAGAGGGGGAGAAGAGAGCGCTTTTACCCAACATGTCCCAGTTCTCTACAACCGTTCCCACATTCATCTGCAGCGGCTGCTCTAGATGTGACCCGACTCTTCGGCTTGAATGAAGCCCGCTCATTTCCTAACCACAACAAGCACATTCAGCGCCTCGGGCCAGCGCAGCTCAGCCAGTCACGAAGCCAGCGACCGAGCAACAAAGTGGAGGTGGAAAATTGAAGTTGCGCGCATACAATAAAGCAAGTGTATCCAAGCAGATGTTATGGTTTCTGCAGGTTATTTTTAGATTTTTGCAGACATTAAGAGACCTAACTATCCTAGCGATCATATTTTAACCACACAGCCACATAGAAACATATCCTGTCTGTATGTCTAGAAGAAATGCTCATTATTTGTTGGAAGTTGCAGTTGCAGCAGGACATGACGATGTCTTGTACTGATTGCGCAGGTATTTAATGGTTGCTCCTAATTTTGTCATTTTTAATGGCTGATATGATATACACACACACTCAACGTGTTTATCTGAAACACACACACACACACACACACACTCACTCAACATGTTTATCTGACACAAACATATAAATGCAATTAAACCTCCTATTTTTAATATACTCCTTCTACTTTCCTCTAGTTAAATCTATACAGTAAAATATGTTAGAAATAAACATTATTACTTTTAATTATTATAACTTTTGTTACTAGTTTTCTTAACTTACTGTATCAAAAATCAATTCATTAAAATAAATATTATATATTATATTATATATAGAAATATTAAATAAACTGAAATTCTAGTAACTTGTTAATGAGCAAAAAACAAAACAAAACCTACCATTCGAAAGTTTAGGGTTGGTATGATTTTATGCTCACCGAAGCTGCATTTATTTAATCAAAAATACAATAAAAACAGTACTATTTTAAAAATTTGTTACAATTTAAAATAACTGTTTTTATTTTTAGTATATTTTAAAATGTAATTTATTCATGTGATGCAAATCTGAATTTTTAGCATCATTATTCTAGTCGTCAGTGTCACATGATCCTTCAGAAATCATTCTAATATGCTGATTTGTTGCTCAAGATATGTTTATTATTATTATCAGTGTTGAAAACTTGCTAAGGTTGTATAAGCTAATTTTTTTTAGGATTCTAAAAAAATTGAAGTTAGAATAAAATAGAAAGTTCATAGGAACAGCGTTTATTTGAAATAGAAATCTTGTGTAACATTATAAATGTCTTCTAATCAACGTCTAATGTCTTCAATCAATGCACCCTTGCTGAATAATAAAAAAAAAATCATACTGAACCCAAACTTTTGAACAGTATTGTACGCCAAGTCTTTCCAACATGCCTAAAAAAAGTTCTCTTCCTCTCATTTAGTCAACTCTCACACACATCACAGTTACATCCACACGTTCTGACATTTGCATGCACACAAGGCGCACACACACACACACACGCAGACACAGAGGTAAGTCTCTTTAGAATCATTTAGGTCAGATATCCATGTCCCTCGGGCTGCAGGCCAAGCTGCCTTGAAAAATCACATCAAACCGATCCGTCTCATACTGGCAAAGGATTGAGGGATTTGGAGCGTGTAAATCTTAAAATCACATAAATGGCCATTAAGGAATGTGCCAACTGAATAGGGGCTGAGATCAACACACGCTAAACTGAACGATAACCCCTTTTTCGAAGTGGTCGATTGATACTAATGACATCCATGTAAAGGGCCATCAACAAGTCTTCCTTCCCAGAGAACACTGAACACTTGTGACGTTTCCATCCCCGGAGGGGAAGAGGACAAAAATAGGCTTGGGAAAAACTAAATTTTTAAAAACATAAAAAAAATGATGCAAGCTAAACAATATAATGATTAATGATATCTTTATGTCTATAACAAAGACATCTTGTGTGGTAAACACACTTGCTAATGGATTTAACACATTTCCATTAACTTGATTTGTTCACTATTATTGGAGGGCTACACTAGTCAGTCGCTTTCCCAGATGAAAACACGGAAAAGATATCTTGGGAGACAATGCCGGAGGCTGAAATTCCCACGGGTGGGATCAGTTCTGCATTTGGCTCCTTCTACACAGTGTTACAGCTGCCAACGGAGGTGAAAAAATGATCATGAATCGGCACCTGAGGTAAATTCTTGAGTAAGCATGGCAATAAACTTACAGATGATGTGATAGTCCTTTCCTTTGTAGAACTCCAGGCCCCACAGGTTGGGGCTGAACTCTTGAAACTTGAAGGTGAACTTCACGTCCTGGTCTGGCTTGTCACAGTTGAGCAGTAACATGTCGCCCTTAGTGACTCGACAGGTCTCAAGTTGTTCTTTGGGAACAAGATAGACCCGGAAGTATTCAATGTTCGTCTGCTCAGTGGAGCCTGGCTTGATTCTTGGACACACAATGTCCATTTTGTCTCCGATCTGAGGGTATAGTACTACACCCCTTCCTGGGACAAACCTGTAGGGAACACTGCGATGTTAAACATCTTATAGAGTTACAGAGATGGGAAGAACATACTGATTAGCATGCATAATAATGAATAAATTCTCTATATTTTATTAATTAGGCATGAGAACCTTAAAGTTGATGTAAAATGTATTGTGTTTGGGTATCTAATAAATTTATCCTCACAGCAAAATTATTAAATATTTGAAGCTAGTTGTTTCTTCAGGTAATTGAATTAACCAACTGGTCATTGGCTTCATTAATGTCTTTTAAGAGTCAATTCTAGATCCAATCCTGTATGATTTAGTTTTCTTCTGAGTAAAACAAAAGATGACATTTTGAATGTTGCAGCAGTTTTTGGACCCCCCTTGTCTTTTATTATAAAAAATGAGACTTTTTTCAAAGTGCATTCGACCCATGGTTGCCACCCTCCATTTATTCTAAAACAAGCAACTCAACGCAATGGATTGAGACAAGCAATTTCCTTTGGCAAATTTTCAGAGTTCTGTCTTGAAGCAGAATGCAAATGCATCTAAAGCATTTGGGACCTTGGCTTACTTACACATTTTTTGACTAATGTATGCAACTTTGCAGTCTCATGTTTTTCCCTATTACATATTTCTCTGCTCTGTAATGCATTTGCACAATTAACAATCGCTCACTCCTGACCGCTTGCTGGCGGCAGTCCTTTCCTGCCCTTGATGTTTAATACAACCTCACTATATCACCTATTACAATGTTCACTTCTTGTAAAAGCGTTCTGATATTGACCGTTCAGTTATTTGCAGATTCTCAGATTAATCTGATTTCTCATTAAACACACAAATTCTATTGTAAACAGGCCAATGCGTACACTGGATTTGTCCTTTATTTTCTAAATCTGCCGTGACAAAGTTAGACATGGTCTCATTCTCTCCCATGCTTCCCTAAACACCATAAGGCAGGATAAAAGAGCCACTTTCTAAGACTAGCTTCCATCCTCATAAAGTCATTAAGAGCTGGAAAGAAAGGGACCCTCTAGCTTCTACTGGGGGTCCTGAGAAGACAGGAAGCTTTAGTACCCCTCCTCCGCCCCCTGCAGTACCAACTTCTGTGTGGCTCAAACCGGGATGGGGGTTGAACTGTGCCTTCATCCCGGCGCACCTTTTGTCTCCAAAGCTCTGGGACAAAGATGACCCACTGAGCTACTGGAACTCATGAAAACCGATTACAACCTGCGGCAAAGCCCCACTACACTACAGCTTAGCATCTTAAAGGAACGTTATCCTGCATCCAAACAAAACTGATCTATTTGAATACAGGTTCACTGCTGTGAAGAAACAGCCACCAAATCGACCAGTTTCACTTGAGTGGTCAGATTGTGGAATAAAAAAAACTAAATGGGAAATTTAAGTGCATTCTTGGTGAAAATGCTTCATAAATATAAATTTTAAGAACATTTCTTCAGGTACGTTGACCAAATGGCAAGACCACACTATGGCAGGAAGAGAGTGTGTACTACTTTGGCAGCTGAGAAAACACCAGGCTGGGTGTTTCGATCTCAAAAAGTAGCACTTACCCTAGTTTAGCAACTATTTGTCCCGACGCAGAAAGGTGTGGTGGGGAACAGATGTACAGACCTCGGAGACACACTTCACAGTGGAAAAAAGTAGCTCAGGCAACAGATCTCTCTATGGCAATCAGTGAGAGGCTGTAATCCACTCTTCAATTTAACATTTCTCAGCTTATAATCAGTCCTAAATTTAGGCTGTGGCTCAGCACTCTTACACGATATTAACCATGATGTAAGGTCTCCACAAGTTTGATTGCTGATTCATTCTGCAGCTTTTCCTCAGTAAATACCAGGGTACATGGATTTTGCAAGACATGTCAACCTCACCATATAATTTCTACAAAACATTGCATTTACCTGCAGTTTTTTACAGGGCACACACAGGGTAATTGCTTAGATTATGTAAATTAACATTTACAAATAGTGGGAATGGCTATGAGGTGGAAGTTCGTTTTGGAAACAGTTTATACAGTGGTCGCCGTTCAGCTTCTTTTGCAAATGAAAGTACTCGCATCTCAATGTTGCTGTCAATAAAGCATCATTGTAACTAATACCCTGCCATCTGGAAAGGTGGGTGGTCCTTCAACAAAGTGGCATGGATTACGAATATGTTCAGTGGGCTGTCTTGTGTTTAAATTACTATGACAGGGTAATAAAATCAATAGAGAAATCAGCAAATTAAAACTGTAAAAGAAAGTGAACTTACAGATACATTTAAAACAATGAATGGTTCTTTGCTACACCTTCATAACACTCAAGTAGGCTGTTTTTGTTTTTTGAGGTGTCTGTGTGGTACTTAAAAGAATAAATAAACCATGTTACGTTTATAGGGTCATTCCTACCAATCAGCATAATGGTTTCCTTAAAGTCCTAGTACATATTTTTTGCCTTTGAATTATATTTGGATCTGTGGTTCAGATATCAACTTATGACTGGTAACTATTCGTTAAGTACAATAATTTATTTCTCAGTTGTATTATATAGTTATACTAGCACTTGTTTATTAAACAATAGTGCATATTCCAATTTGTACTAGTAACATTTTTAATGTTTCTAGTATGAACGATAATTAAGCCATTCCAACTAGTAATTATGACAAGAAAAAACTACTGGAACCTAGTGGACTAACTGGAATAGACACTAGTGTCAGAAAAGGGTATTAGTATAGTACAACTGGAACAATGACTAATACAGTTACACTGAACCACAGATCCCCATGTAATTCAATGGCAAAATATTTAGCAATTTGTTATCAGTTACAATGGAAGAGTTACGCGTCACTACTCGGACAGTAAAGGCTATTAAAGTAGGCTATTGAATGAAGAATTACAAGTGACTGATTTATAGATCAGTCATTTTTGGAATAAATATTCACTGTATAGAGATAGAAACTAGTCACAGGCTACTTACTAATAATTAAAAATAACCACTAGTAAAAAAAAATTGATAGAATAAATGTTAAAGCTGCTTGCCATACAACGCTTTTTCGTTAAGCTTTAATTTTAAGTGTACTTACTTGGTGTTCGAAGTATTCCAATATATTGATTCTAAAACTGTTGATCGAGCCAGTTTTACTCGACAAGCAACCATGAAAAGACCTAATATATAACTCCACATAGTTGTATCCATTGCGATGCAAAACAGTTCACCAGTCCAAATTTGATTATAACAGAGATCCACAGGCACTAATACGAGAAGAATCCGATGCTGCTGGTCGTTCTCATCTGCTGAAAACGCGTTTGATTTCAAAACGGAAAAAAAAACATCTATTTGCCAAGACCTCCTAAAATAACAGCTCCCTCGCAACTGGCACTCTAAACAACAAATTTAACAAAACGGTGTTTGATAATCCATCAGGTTATTTAGACATTAAAATGTTTTAATGCGCATCCTTTGGGAAACAGTGCCTATGGACATTCTTACGAACGCAGAGAAAACAGTTAAATAGTGCAGGTTCCGTGGAACGGCAGCATAGCTCTGAAATTCGGATGTTGCTGAGGTCTAATCTAAAGGCAGTATCATTGCTTCTCCTGTTCTTCGTCTTTGCATTCAACTCTGCCAGTCTTGGAGTGCCCTCGAGACGTGCTCAGAGACTTCTTAGGACAACCCAGTGTTGGCGTTAGACCCCGCCCACATTGCTCTCGATTGGATGACGCTGAATGAGTGACTCCTAGTCGATTTGAAGGAGACTAAACAGGAGTCTGGAAGCGGCACTGCTTCATTAAACATTAGGCTACCACCTGAGTTTACCTAGGGGGCCTCAGTGAACTCCATTTAAAACAAGTTACGTTATATTAAAATAAATAAATAAATAAATAAA